CGACCTTTCCGAAGTCAAGTTGAATAGCGCATTGCAAATTTGATCTTTAATCCTAATTTGAAGCTATTATAAATGATATACTGTTTTTGATGTGATAATATCTTTTCCCGCGTAGGAGAAATAGAATCGATTCGAACAACATCCACAGTGCCTTCTCTTTTTGTTAAAAAATAAATCCTTAAAATATACAACGAATCAAATAAAACTGCATTCCAATACATTCTTAGTTTCTCATTTATCGATGTCTTTTTTCTTTCTAGTTAAAAAGATTTATATTTTATTATTTGGGGATTTATATTATTGAGCCATCTTCAGATAATCGAATAAACGTTTATGTGTTTTAAGGTTTTTTTTTTTTTTATTTAATCGCACTAATCGCTGTACTCAATTGTTTCCTCGTACTCCTTCGATTGTAGTGACTTGGTGGACGAAGAAGTGACGGATTTAACCGAGGTCGATGACTCTACGACTGACTTTGTCTGGACGCTCTGCACAGATTTCGTTGTCGAAACGGATTTCATTGCTGACGTTATGTTTGTCGATTGCTCGACGAGACTGTTGCTTGAGTCGTTTACTAAAAGAATATAATATTACTCTCATATATTGTGTAAATTTCATCTATAGTGTCATGTATTTTAAAGGCTAATCGGACTTTGTTTATTAGACATTATATTTAGTAGATTTTAATTAACACATTTAATTCCGATTAAAGTTAATAATGTAATTGATATTATATTAGGATATACTATAAGAGTCAGTTAAACAATCATGAATATAAAAAGTCAAGATATGAAGTATGTGTATTATAAAAAATTGAAAATATACGAATAATTATTTTTACAAAAATATGAATCGAAATTACTTTTTTCCAGTAGACAAACATCTTAACTATATAATAAATAAAACATGATACGTAAAATAAATTCACAACGTTTTTAAATTAATAAAAACTGAAGAAGAAAGTGTAGTTTACATGACTATGATGGAAAGGGTTAAGGTCACTCAGGATCACGACTTCGATTACATTTGTCAATCGGAGTTAATTTCCTTTTTGTAGATATTAATCATTTTATTATAATTCTGTAAAGAATACGTCTTTAAAGAGTTACACTACCGCTTGCATTTGTATTATCCAAGGCATCCGACTAGTGGCTAAATCATTTTAAATGTTATTCAGCGAATCATGACCTTGATATCATATATTAAGATCAAGTCCATATTGTTACTATTATATTTTTATTTTGCACTAACAATTAATTTTTACATTAAAAATAAAAATAAGCGGAACTTCCAATAGTCTTGACTTTGACATGTGTATAATATAGTATGTCTCTCCCTGTGCGCAAGGTATAAATAATTTTATATAAATCCAAAGTCTTACAAAGCTGTATTTTTTTCTATATGATGTGAATCTTATTTACAAGAAAATATAACACCGTCATGTCTCTTTAGATCTTGAACCGTTCTTACAAATGTTTATAGCGATTATTCCGTTATGTCCAAACTGTTTTTATTTACAAATACAGGGAATATCAACGTGTCGTTTCTCACTTATGACGTCACGGTTCAATATGGCTGAGGTGAATGCTCAGGAGCCTTAATACAGTACACATTTTAGTTTAATTGTGGACATTTCTGTCTTACATCGTTTTATTAACAATTTTATTTTGATTCATCATTTAAGTACTCTGCCAAATGATACAAACAACGTCGTACATTTAATGACTTTTTATATATGAATAATAGTTTAATGATGCCGCCTGTTTGAAAAAGTGTTTTATATAATACATTCATATTGTAACGTTTATTATATTTTTGTACTGAATAGGACCCAAATCTCAAGAATCGAAACTTTTGTAACTTTGTTATTTAAATGTAATTTATTGTTACACACGAACTAGTGTTGGCTCAATAGGCTTTTCATTTAATTAATTTGATTAATTTCATTGAAGAACTTATTTTATATAGAAGTTATTATAATTAAAGGATTGTTATGTAGTGGAAAATTTCAAGTACTTTCTAGAAAAAAATAAAAAATAATAGAAGTGATTGTTTTGACATAAAATACTGAAATTAAAGTTAATAAATAATTTATTTTTTATGAAAAATTAGAATATTTTATGGTATCGTAATAAAAATACATTATTTAATAATATTCAATAAAAATATTTCATTTAATCTCAATTTTATAAATTAACACATGTGTGTGTGTGTGTGTGTGTGTGTGTGTCAGTGTGAATATAATCTTTTTCCAAATTGATGCAGTTAAATAGGAAATTTTTTAGATTCGATTTTAACTTAATTTATATAAATTTTAATTCTACGAAAGTTAAATTATTTGCAATTTATCATACGAAGTGAAAAAGATTTTAAATTAATTTTTTATAATAAATTGAATTTATCTGTTAATTTACTAGCTCTTTGCCTTTCTTTATATACATTATTTTAAATTTATTATGCATATAAATGTAAACTAGACGAGAAATAATTAAATGCAGATTGTAATCATTTAAATAAGGCACTTTGAGACTAATGCAAACTCCGTTGAAATTACCTTTGGCAACTTCCATGATGAAGCTTTCGATGTTTTTGATAAGGTTCACAAGAACAATGATACGACAATGACGCGAATCATTCAAGGTTGAACTCACGAATGGTAGAAGAATGTCGGAGCTTCGGGTTATTCTAAATTGGTAGCACACATGATGGCGGAGAGGGAAAGTTTAAGATCACGTGACTGAAGCTGAACTAGTGGAGGAAACGTGAAAAATCATCGTACGAAATATTCACGGAATCCCGGCCGGTGGTAGTGAACAATGTAAATGCAACGCTGAGTCAATGCTCAATGACGCGACGCGATGTTCTATGGATGAGTCGCCCATGATTTATAGTCCGTCAGTTTTTAGAAATAATATTTATGAAATGTGGAATTTGTCATCCAAAACAATATAAATCTATGATAATAATACGTAATTTATGATAGTAGTACGTAATCGAACAAAAGTAAAGGAATATCTGTTACATTAGACTACACATTTTTTATTGCTACGATTTTGCATAATGAATTTTACATAATTATTACCTATACAATTATTATGAAAAACTGTAATTACATAAATTTCTTATAAAAACAGTTCCACGAAAGTCTTTATTACCTGTTACTGGATAATTATGAATAGCTAATATATTAAGGACTATCTAATTCAAGCAAAATAACAAGTCATTATATATATGATATCAAAATAATATCTTTATGACTTTCTAAAATGATCATTAAAAGTCATTTTTCAATCATTTCCGATTTGTTTTAACGTCATCCAAACAACACGAAGTCGATTGAAAGTCTATTATAAGTTGACTGGAAAAGTCAAGAATCAACTTTTTAGTCAATCAACTATATAAGTCGACTAATATCTTGAAAATATTGTTACTGTTATGGATATAATAAGTCTTTTGATTGCGGGTATTATACCAATAAATTATTTAGCTATAAAATTTAATCAAGATATTATAGATGTAATGTATAGCGTTTTGAGATTAATTTGAATTATAAATAAATAATTATTTTTATTGTCTAAATATTTTATTAATGTTGAATGCTGTGAAGGTTGATATTGTTATACATGAAGAGAAGAAAGAAAACACAATTTCATTATAAAAAAGAAATATTTTATTTTACTCAACTACGATCGTTACAGTATATTGATGTACGCATTATTTTTTCTTATGCGGGCACATAAAACATCTATCATTCATTTTAATTATAAAAGATATTCAAAGTCAATAGAGATCGAATTTAAAATAAAGCTTTATAGAAACTATATTAACATAATCAACAAAAACGTTTTTATTTCTGATATGTCCTCGATTACATATGTAATACAATTAGAGCGCGTACGTCGCTGAAGCTCAAGTATGTACACAGCGCCTACAAAGCATTTGAAAAAATACTAAAAAACAATATTAACGCTTTTTTAGCTTGCACGTTGAGCTACTTGGGACAAAATTGAGAAAAAATTTAATTATAAACAATTGCACTTGATTTTATTAGACATCATCTTCGTGGCTACTTATTATTAAATGCATTGTTATTATTATTAAATAAAAGTATATAAAAGTTCCGCCCGATTTATCTGGAGTATATCATCAATTATATTCCAACATATTGACTATATTAATATTAATTTTATTTTATAGTTTTGTTCGACTGATTATGCAGCTGAAACACGGTTATGATGTTAAGTTAAAGTTTTAACAGCAAATGACGGACATTATCTTACTTTTCATTAAGTAAAATGATGAAAGAGTAATCGTTCATCATTTTTATTTCTCGTTTAATTTATTTAACGCAGTATATTTGCTTGCAACTTTATTGACAGATTACGTTCGCATCCTTTCTTTTGTACGAATTGTACTTTTGAAGATTCTATGAATCTATAACTATTTTGATACCATTTCAAGGAAATGCTGAAGTGATCATGGCAGAAATTATTTCGATCGATATTGACAGACTTTTTTTATTTCAAATTTAAAATGTCGATGATAGTGACATCTTTAATTGATTTCTTATATTATCGTTCTGTCTCACTCAAACGCATACATGTATCTTTACCTAAAATATTGCAATGCCAAGATCTTGCAAGATCGAGCACCTACTACTAGACATACTTATTTTGTTTACCATTCTGAGATTTCGTTCATGATACATATATAGGTACATGTAATTTGCAGCTCAATATAAATCTTTGTTTTTAAGCTTTTAATATGAGTTGAAAAATAGGAATGTTTTAAACTCTTTTTCGATTTTAGTATAAAGTCCATTGTACCTCTCAATTTTACATCTATTTTAATCCTGTAAAAAGATTTTTTATTTTGTTCAATAAATTCGGAGATTTCTATCGATCTGTAATGTATCGACAATTTAGTCACTCCAGCATCCTTTTAAGTTTAAAATTTAAGTTAACGTATTATGGCATAATTGTAATATTGGCATTCTTTTGGCAGTTTTTTTTAGATTCATTGTAGGAACCTGCAATGCCGATAGTCGACAAGAACGCGTTTTTTTTACGTACTGTATATCGACAAGCGTATTCTTAGTTATAAATACGCAGTTATTATCTTCAGCCGGTAAAAAATTCATTCTTTTTTCTCCCTTTAGGCGCAATCAGTGATGAATATTCTTCGACCCAATTCAAAAGTCGTATTAAGTTCCGACTACAATGGAGTGTCTTCTTCTGGGAGTTACCTCGGTGTTGGAGGTGGAGGTGGTGGTCATACAGCACTTCCAGTATAAAAGCTCGCCTTGCCAGTTAGTCCGGATCCTCGCTTCCTTTTTTCGCATTCCATCGTGCTAAAGGTGTTCTGAGCGATTTGTGACTTCCGTTTAGGATTTTGCAAGGTCATGCTGCGTTGACTGGAATTGGAACTAGAGCTGGTACCAGGTTCTGACACTTTAAGGATGCCCGAATGTATCGTTCCAAAGTTTTGATATATATACTGTGATTGAATAGCCGATACCGAGGTATTCTGATTTTTTAGCGTGATAGGAACAGTCTGTCCAGCCAAACTGTTGAATCTAGTGTCGTAACCGAACGGGGTATCCAGTAAGGATTCATTCTTGTCGACGTAACCACTCAATCTAGAATCGAGAAGACCCTCTTTGTCGACGAAACCACTCAATCTGGAATCTACTATATTCTGGTCAGTGTTTCTCGTAGAGAACTCGGTATACCGTTGCTCCTGGTCAGGTTCCTTGTTATCCGTAAAAGCGATCATGTTTTGCCTGGAATCGGACAGAATTCGAGAATCAATGAAGCCTTCTTTATCGGTGAAGCCACTCAGTCGAGAATCTATGACGTTGCCTTCCGACTTATCAAAATTGTTGTACCGTGGGTCGATGTTCTTCCCATCTGGGTAGACCGGCAAGACGTGTGATAGATCTGCCTTATCGACGTAACTGATGGCCTGTGGATTCGACGCACAGATATCGGGTGCTGATTTACAGAGCAATGAAGTTCCTTCTTCGGCTGTTTTTTGGGGCGCTAAGATACAGAAATGGACTTACTTTCCTCTAAAGAGTCTAAAGCATAAGAAATCATCATTCATTTTATAGGATGTCCCGCAACATTTTGAAGATTAAACAAATTTTTATAAACCATTGGGATTTTTTCGTATCTCAGAATCCTAGAATTCTATCTAACTATCCAATTATCTTTCGAGTTTTCCAATTATGTAAATTTGTGATGTGTCGCATCATTAGATATACTCCTCGGGACACCCTCTTTAGCGATAAGTTTACCCACTTTTGGTTGGCTGGTCGAAGGGTCGGGCTTGCGGCGGTCCTGGTGATTTCTGATGCGCCCTCACAAGATACTCCGAGCTAAATCCTCTCTGTTCTCTCAGTTTTCTTTCGGCACCCGGAACCATGACTCTCACCTAAAAGAAAAACAAAGAGCATGAATATCCCTCGATTAAATCAAACATAATTTAATATGAAACAGATAATGATAAAGCTAGAAATCCACTTGTGTGACCTCGAATAGATGTTTCACGTTTTATTATAGTAGGATCTAATGGGTCTAAGTGAATCCCTAGCTAAAACCAAGCGAGCTAATCTGCAGCGAGAGTTTTAATCGACAACTTCACCATCTCCTCGACCGTGGAGAATCGCGCCATGTAACCGGACATCGTTAAAACGGCCGCCATTTCCGCGAGCATCAATGCTAATCCCGAAAGTTGTAGGCACCAGCCATAATGGTACTGAGGTAGACCGTTATCGTCCATTTGCATGCCGGCAGTTGACGGCAAACTGTATTTTCCCGATAACTCTAGTGATGCGTCCGACAATGCTGATGCCAGAACTATCAATCCACCGCCCAAGGAAAGTCCTGGAACAATATAAACATAATTCCATATTAGACATTGTATAATAATTTTGAAAATAATATAATATTACTAAAAGTTAATTATTTCTTTTTCTTAACTACCATTGTTTCAGTTAAAACGTATATGGAGCATACCATATGAGATACAGAACAAGAATCCAAATAGAAAAGTTCTGAGTCATTTTTTGAACCGCTTCGCTGCGTAATATCGTATAACAACGGACTGAAAGCTTAGATCAAAAAAAGACTCAGGATTTTTCTACTTGAATTCTTGTCCTGTATCTTATGATATGCTCCATATACGTTTTTTTAGTTGCATTTTTTACATGCTATATATAATATATTTTTTCGCTATAATAGTTAATAATAATTTATACACTGTGGTTTCTTTTAGTTAAATTTGAAAGTATTCTTTTTTGTGATTTTTGAAAAATTTTAATTAATGATATAAATATAAAAATATCTACTAATTAAAATACCGACAAAATAATAAATAATGATATTTCTTAACGCTTAAAAAGACTAAAAATATAGATTGTAATTTTTTATTACTATCGCTAAATATTATAGAATTCATAGCTAAAATTATTTATTATTTGTGAACATAAAAGTAACAAAATATTTTTCAAATCGTTTCCAATAATTGGAAATTCATGAAATATAGAATTTTCTTTAACAAACATTTATTATCAATTATTATGGATCATTACTAAATACATTTTATAAAGGCATCTACATTATTAACGCAAAGTTTTCAATTACGAATAATTTTACTCTGTACACAATGAAGTACAACTACCGGGAACGGGATAAAATTGCCAAACTAGTAAGTAAGACGTGACCGCAGGACATATTCAAGGATTTAGAGCATCGCCCGTACGCGCTATATCACGAAAATAGTCAGGCGTATCTTGCATATCCGTAGTTAAGAACATAATGACAAGGAACAGTTTACTCTGTTATATTATATCATATAATATCATATAATAACATTGGAATTGAATTGATCGTTTAAACGACCATCGTCTATAGCGGTTTTTTATGCGAACTTTTCATACGTTTTATTGGATCGAAGTTAAATTAGCGCCAGGTCGTGATCTAAATGGAATTATAGGATCTGACTAGAATCTAATCAGTATATACCGTCATATATATGCTAATCTTAATTGACTAACGCATCAATTACAGTACTATCCGGAAAAGTGAAGAGAACTTAATAATGCTGTCAGTATTGATTATTACTACGAAGATAGTCTAACGGTTATTGGATATGTTTGTGCTGGTCACTGGTGACTGCTGGTGACACAATAGACGATCAAGAAGCCTAACATTACAATATTTGAAAATTGCTAAATGTATTCTCAATAGTTACAGAAATCATTCGATTTAATTAACAAATATATATCTGCAATCAAAAGTCTGTTACGACTTCAACACGTGTATTTATAGTCCGTTTTTATTTAAAGATTGTCTTAAAATAATGTTTTAAGATGCTAATATAGTTCTATATTTTATGATATTATCTTAGTAAACATCAACTCAGTATTATTAACAGCAATATAACATTAATGTTATGTTATTATACATATATATTACTTTTGTATTTACTGGGTTAAGATTTTACTTAAGTCAATTTTAAATATAAGAACCGGACTATGATGAATATCGACATATATGTTCGTGAGAAAGATTTTAAGAGAAGATGACTATCGATTGACTATCGATTACAAATAACTTCTCTTTTAGAACGTGGCGATCGAAGCTGGATATCGCTCGGTTCAATAAGCTATAAAGATTTCATTCCGGTCGCCATCGTCATGGGAATCTCCCGCATTTGTCGAGAAAACGACGCCGCTCATATTGCAAAGCGCCATGGTTTACGGAAGATACGGACGATCGAGTCATAATAAAAATGGGATTGGCGGTCCGCGAGAGACAGCATATGAAAGGGAAGAAATTGTCTCTTTTCGCTTGTCTCTGCAATGCTGCCTTCTTGGATGCTGCATTCTCTTCAACAAAGAACTTATCCATGATAAAATAATAATTTCTCACTCAGGAATCAATTTATTTGCGACGAGAAAGTTAATAGCTTCTTTATATTTTCCATCAATCGAGACGTTTTAAGTTTACGGCTTGAATTTCCAGGGAGAATTGGAAGTCACTGTTTAAAAGTAATAATTTATACATATTTAAATATATTACTCGTTACCGAGTAGAAAAAGTAACAAATTATTACTAGTTATCGATTGTTAAAAGTAACTCATTACAGTTACCGTTACATGGAAACATAATTTTTCGTTACTTTTCCATTACTTTTTTAAAATTGAGGATCACTTATCATAGCGGACGGGTAGCCGTGATAAAAATATGTATTGGAGATTGAGATAGAGATAAAGATTGAAATTAAAATTGATAATTGCTCAATCATACTATGAATTGTATTCAAAAGTAGTTAAGATTGAGATTAATAAGAATGTATCGGGATAATTAAAATCGCAAAATATTAACATAATAAAAATTATTGAATACGCATTTAATTGCTCTCAGACGTTTATGTTAATTGTGCTGTTTGTGTGTGTAGCATTATTGATCGAAAGAGATAATGGGTAAAGATAAAAAATAAAGATTATATAAGTTAAACAATGCCGCAGTTAATAAATCATATGCGTTTAGATATGAAGAAGAAGAAGAAAATAATTATTTCTTTACTTTATTTAATAATTGCTGAAGTTGAACGAAAGAAGTTCGTGAGGTTAGTCATGTGAGATTAGTCACGTGACTGAAATATTGATTGAGATTGAGATTAAAAATTGGAAAAATAGACAGAACCCTTTCAATCTGCAATCTCGGTCTCTGCTCTGTTCTTATTAGTTGAGCTTCAATCTTAATCTCAATCTTAATCTCAATCTCAATCTCCAATGCATAGTCTGATCACGGCTTAAGGACTTTATAGTCTCAAGCACTATAAATAGCTTGTATCCAATCGTATGCCAAGTAACAATAAAAGTAACTGTAAAATTCGTTAACATTACAGTTATCGAAACAAAAGTAACGCAGTTACCAGTTAAGCTACCAAACATTCGTTACAATTAAATAAATTATTTCCATTCTCTGTGAATTTCTATAGCATACAAATAACAAAATTTATACATTATATAACAAAGGCAGCAATATAAATGAGAGAGAACGTTACAAATTATAATGTTATTCTTTCTCTCTCTCTCTCTCTCTCTCTCTCTACATATATATATATATATAGGTATATATATGTATTATTCTAAAATATTCTTCAATTCATTTACTTGTCGAGATGAATGCATTGTTTTGAATGTAATCCGCTGCTAAGAATTTAATACGACAATATCTCATTGCAAGTCATGTAAATAAAAGTTTGTAATTTCCGCGCAAATTTCCTGGATTTAATCGCGGAAGATGCGCTCGTGCAATGATGGATTGTATAAGTTTATCTTAGCGCGCGAATAAAGGATTAATTTTATTGCTGCAGATCGTAATTCTCAGTGTACTTGTGTACGTTCTTACAGTCGAATAATATCGGACGAGCGAATGCCACGTATACACTGGCGGAAACTTCCAGCTCTGTCCTTGTTTCCATGTTCGTCGACTAAATTGCAATTACTGCTAATTAATTGAGCAAAGGTTTGCCTAGTTGCCAGCAGACAAAGCAAGGCGCGACTACACCAACGAAGAAATTCTAGATCAGCACGTTGCGATTGTAATTCCAGTAAGCTGTACTCGTACAAGTAGTATGGAAGTCCTGATAATCTCCAGTAATCGAAAGAATCAGAGGAAAAGGAGAGGAAATATTTCAATATATATACATAATCTACTATATATATATATAATCTTATAAATTCAATGCGCTCATATAAAAAAGCATAAATTAGCTTTGATTCTAGTAGTATAACCATTTCAACATTGCGTTTCTTTAATATTTTAATAGTTATCTTAGAAGTTTATTTCTTGTCAAATAATGAGCAAGCATTTTGCATTTTTATAAATTTTTTAGTAAATTTGGATTTCGACACACTTTTTTATAGATTATCAAAGCACAATTTTTAGTTTTAACTTTTTACGAAATGTTTTGAAGAAATATGTATAGGTATATCTAATTGTTTTACAATTACATAATTTATGAATTACATTTATTATACTATATCTGCTTATTAAATATATTTCATATTATTTAATGTCGAGTATATGTAATATGAACTATCGCATGATTAGTGCTATAGTCTAGTAAGTGTGATCGTAAATTATAATTTTTGCTGGAGTTTTATCTCGAAAGACTCTTGAAGAAAAAGAGGAAGAGGAAAGAAAGATGAAATTGAACAAAGCAACCACACGAGGTAAGTAATACATTATTTATATACAGAGTGTTTTATTCAGATTACCTATAGTACTACTCTTTGCTTTTTAAAAATAAATAGTAGTCGGAAATTGGGAAAAAGTTTTCATTACGGAGCCTATCTGAATTATTTAACGATGGCATTTCAATTTTTTGAAAATTACAAGAAATAAAATAAGCGTATAGTCAAGTCAAAATATTAAATACGAGCATATCATAAATCCAGTGAGATACTTACCGTTGGTCTTTTTAAAACAAGTAACTTTTACTTTTCTCTTATATATTATTTTTAATTTATGAGAAAAATGTAGAAACGTCATATATTACGAATCATTAATTTTCCTAGACATGAAAAATTATTGATATTTTAAATTATATAATATATAAAAATTTGTTAATTTATTAAATTTAAAAAATTGATCAAACCCTATGCGATAAATCCAATAGTGATATTTGTACTTTTAGAAATACAAGAAGATTTGTAGTAAGCATATAAACAATAATAAACGATAAGATCGTATAATATGAATTATTCCAATATCAAAAAATATAACCGTAAGAAGGTAACAATAACTTTAATTTTTCTTTAAAAATATTTTTATTAAGATCTTTTTATTCTGATTCAAGTAATAATAGC